ATGGACCCTGACCGAACCTGCCATCATGGACAATCAAAGGGGATTATTGGGGGGGCCAATAATCCGCAGCAGCAACGTGATCGCGGGGCGGGAAAAAAGCGCGGGAAGGGGGGAATATAACGTACCAAGCCAGTCCTGGCTTTGCTTGTGACTACTACGTTACGCATGAGTAAACCTTCTTTGTGAACCACACGTGTCACGAGAGTTTCTCTGTCGAACGGGGCAAATCTCACACTAACAATGCTCTCTTGAATTAGTCGCCAACTCTCCACCTTTCTTGGAAGTGATTAATTACTAGGACTGTTTTATATTCTATTTTAATGAATTTTATCTCTGCTGTAAACCTCCCAGAGTCACTTCAGTGAGATGGGCGGTGACAAATTTGATAAATAAATAAATAAAGATAAATAAAACTGTGCCTCAGTTACCTTACTTGGCCCTGCTCGGTTAGAGTCCAACTCCAAGTGAATCCGAACGACTTTATCACTTAAATAGTATGAACACTCTTCACCACAGCCCTGCAGATGGTCCTGATGCAGAGTGCCCAATGGATTTGCTGATGTCAACCCTTCAAGGTCAACCAGATCGGGAAACAGACTCCACAGGATGATTAGAATTATACTCTACATTGTTCAGGAAAAATCCAGGCTGAGCAGATAACCAGGCTTTTTGCGTTAGCCTGGATCTGTTTGACCTGGAGACTCCATAAACCAAACCAAGCTTAGTTCAGCAAAATTTATTCTCTCTAGCACAAAAGATAAGTGTGTTCCTTAAAATAGGAAGACAAAGAAACAGAGCAAATAAATGGTATATATTTGCTACAGTGACCAAGGGTAACCCATCGAAACTTAACCCATTCCATGTGCTGACTCCAGACTCTTAGCAATCTTTTGACTAAATATGGCACATTCCTTAAGCCTTTTTCTATTGCCTCCTTGGCCTCCCTCTTATCGCATCCTGCCTGGGACATCCTTTCCCGTAACTGACTCCCTTCTTTCTCAACTTTCTTTGGTCGGCAATAAAATGACGTCTGCCGATTGCAAGATTAAGCATAGTAACAACATGGGAATTGTCTTCTTCCTTTTCTTCCACTCATCCCTTACATTTTATTGAGGTTGGCTGTTGTAACCGTATCTTGAAGCCTGACCTCATTTTCTCTTGCCCTCCTCTTATAAGCTGGGGAGTTCAGGAAGGAACCAGTCTATGTCTCTTCCTAATACTGTCCTAGGTTTGAAGCATGCTTCTGTACCTGCTGTTGTTTTAACAGTTTCCACATAGCTTCTCCAAGACCATCTCTATGGCTCCCTCTAGCTGACAAGGAAATTTGGGGCCCTGGCTAGGTCAGACTGGTGCTCTCTAGCTGTTACATTCTGTTGGAGAAGTGTGTTGGTCTGCTCATCATCCATGCTGAGCGGAGGGTCTGGGGAGAGGCCCAAAGATGAGATTTTAGATGCCATTGCCTGCTCAGTAAAACTTTGATTTTAAGGATTGTCAAATTAAGTGCACCATTCTCCCCATCCAGTAAGGTCTGGCAGAGTGTGCACGTCCCAGATGGACACGATGCCATTCTGCTAGTTTGTGCATATTCTTGTTTAAACACGTTTGGCCAGGAAACATTTGTAACCTTCCCTTGTCTCTCAAATGTGCCTTGGAAAGTGATGACCCAGGTGGGCTTTGACAAAAGAGATGCTCTTCTGAAAACATCCAAGAAACAGTGGTTGTATGTAGAACAGCTCCACTAGCTATGTCTGGATGGAGAATCCACTTCAGACATAGCCCTCATATCTCTTTTTATTTCTTTGAGATTTCGTGCTTTGAGAAATCCCAGTCCTAGATGAAAGTCCCTAAAGTTAGGGTGGATGGAAACTCACCGAACCATCTCAGTTAACTTTCTTCTGCCCCTATCCCTGGATGCAGAGTGAGAGAGAGACCAGGATATCACAGGAGACATTCTGCTTCCCAGTTGCAATTATCAAAAATCATGGTCATTGTGCTTCCTGCTACAGCATGAGGGATTCCTCTGGAGTTGATCCCCTTGGGATCCAAGAAGGCAAACATCATGAAACAAGATGAAATCTCTGCTTGAGGCTTCACCCAAAGGGAGAGAAGCAGTTCTTGAATACTCCTGTCTCTGGGCAGATGGACTCTTGGCTTGTGTGAAATTTCATTGCATCCTGGCTCTGTTCTGAATTCTTTCCCAGGAAGCTTAAAACCCCGCACCTTGGTCTTCTTGCATGTCAGTTTTGGCTTCTAAAAGAGAGCAGGCCATGTTGCTGGTTGCAATCCTGAGGGAGTTGCTGGTTACCAGCAGGTATAAACTGCAACTGCAGCTGGTCCTGCTGCTGCTGCTGCCATCTGCAACTTCTGGGGGGCCAAAACCCAAATGCCTCTTGACTTTTATCCAGGATGCCAATCAAGCCCTCAGTTGGTCCAGGCCAGGAAATTATCATCTTGGTGGTCTCCTGTCTATAACTCCTATTTTGTTCAGGCCACCCGTTTTTTATGAGCCTCCCTTTACACAAATTAAAGGGTAAGTCAGCTGGCAATAGAAAGATGTCCAACATTACTTGATCCTGCCCGTGGAGGCAGTCGTGTGTGTGTGTGCGTGCGCGCACGCACACACGCACATCAGTATCCGTCCATCCCTCCCTCCCTCCCTCCCTCTCTCTCTCATTAGGGCATGACACAATACTGGCTTTTCAAGTAGTATCATTGCAAATATTTGATTTTAGGCTCTCCTGGAATTACCTGAATGCGTGTGTGCACGTCATAAAGTGATCTGTATTGTTCTTTCTTAGAATCTTGTATGAATGCAACTCTTGTGACTTGTTCCAGAAGCCACAATCAAAGCAAACAGTTGCCTTGTGTAATGGATGAAGCCATTCAGTTTAGCAATTACTAACTATCAGCTGTTTTTTCATGACCTCCAAAATCAGTGGCCTGAGGCAGGAACCTCAGCCTGCCAGATCACTGGGTGCCATTCTTAGAACTTTGCGCGGTTCTAAGCATCTTTAAAGCTGCTAGAATGTTCCCGCAATTGGTGCAACGTTTTAAGCCAGAATATTTCTTTGCATAGGGTGTAGCACTAAGGAGGCTGGATGGTCATCAAGGCCAGCACCTCCCCAGTGCAGGTTCCCAAGGCATGTCTGGCAGATGTTCATCTAACCTCTGTTGGAAGACCTCCAGTGAAGGAGGATTCACAACTTCAGGTTGACAGTTTAAATAGTCAGGAAGTTCCTTCTGAAACTTCCTTCTAGGCTGAACCTCCTTCCTTATAGATTGGTCCTACTGGTTCTGCTTCATTTTGGGCAAGAGAGAGTGCATCTAGCCTCTCCTTTATCTGACAGCCTTTAAAATATTTGAAGACTGCTATCATACATCCGCTTGGTTACATGTGTTTTGTAGGCAAAACATCACCAGAATCTTTAACTGTTGTTGGTTTCCAGACTCCTCACCATCTTCACACCCTTCCTTTGCAGTTTGTTGTGGTTCTTTTTAAATTGTGGGTCTCAGAACTGGACACAGGATCAGATCCAAATCTGATCTGATCTGACCAGGGCAGAGGAGAGGAGAGGAGAGGCGAACAATGACTTCCCATGATCTGGGCTTTATGCTCCTCTTAATGCACTCCAAGATAGTTTAGCAACTGCCTCTCATTACTGGTTCATGTTTAACTTGTGATTGACAAGGACACTCGGATTCCTTTTATGTGGGCTGCTGCTAAGCCAGGCCTCCTTCATCCTTTACTTATGCCTTTCATTTATCCTACTCAGATGCAAAACCTTATATTTGTCCTTGATCAATCCCATCCTATTTGTTTCAGCCAACTGCTCAATTCTCTCTCACTCTTTTTTAATCTCCTATCCCTCCTCTAAAGTAGAAGCCACCCCACCTGGCTTTGGGTCATCTGCTCACTAGATAAACCTTATATCAACTCCCTCACCCAAGCACTGATAAAAACATGGAATAGCAACACACTATCATTTTCAGCATGAAGGCTATCCCAGGCTTTTGTCAATATGGTGAGTCTCTTCTGATGCCAGCATTGCTTCTCGAGCACTTCCTGGCCATTTCATAAATCTTCTCCCATTGCTTTTGGTTTCAGTTATTTGGGAAGTTTTTCTTCTCCCCATAGAGTTCTATGCAAGGGCCCTACATTTATTCTGGTTGGGAGGGCAATCTGTCACCCCATAAATCACCAGGGCGGATTCGGTTGACCTGGCTGGCTAAGTGGGTGTCGCCTCCCCGCTCAGTGCTCCAGGTGCACCTCTCCTGAAGATGCATACTCAGTGAAAAAGGACAATCATCCCCAATAGAAGGAGCATGCCTGTTGCTCAAAGGGAAATTCTTTCCTACCCTCCAGCTGAGACCCAACCAAAGTGAAGGTTCTTTTTCTAGCACGAGCTTCATTCTAGGAGGGAACCATAAAGAGAACACTGCACTGAATTGTTAGGGGTTTGATGTGCTTTTTAAAATGCCGTCTGCAAAAGCAACATGACTCGTATACTTTATTATAGAGGGATAAATTTTGCAACCTACTGGCCCATCCTGTCTTTTCTTTTGGCCATGGAGGAGATCAACCAAAATCCCAGGCTCTTGTCCAACATCACTCTTGGCTATGACATTTATGATAACTATTATGATGCAAGGACAACCTTTGACTCCATGGCCGACTTGCTCTCGCCTGGTCCAGCAAATGTTCCCAACTATCGCTGTGGAAGAAGGAGCAACTTGATGGCGATGATTGAAGGAGAAGCTTCTGCCATTTCCAAAGATATTTCCATCATGTCCAGTATCTACAAAATCCCACAGGTACTAGGTGATGGGAAGAGAATATAATTCCATGAGTTTCTTCCAGAAAGCTGAGGGGAGCGTTTGGACTCAAAAATGAGGAAAAAAGAAGTCTTTTGGGGCATTGCTTGACAAGGTTCATGCTTTCTTTAATTACAAAGGGTGCTTAGTGAGGAGAGATATTAGGGCAGGAAAGAAAATGGCTCAAATACTCTTGTTGAGCTGAGATGATTAATCTCCTCCTTCCAACACCAGGTCAGTTACAGTGTGGTTTCTGAAGAGCTGAATGATAAAAGTCAGTTCCCATTCATCTACCATATGGTCCCCAAAGAGCAGCAAGTCTATTTCAGCATTGCCAAGTTGCTCCTACATTTCAGATGGAATTGGGTCGGCCTGATTGCTCCAGCCACTGATAATGGAGAGAATTTCTTGAGGACTTTGCCCCCAATCCTAACCAGCAATGCAATTTGTGCTGCCTTCTCAATAAGCATTCCATCCTTGTCATTTTGGTTGAAAGAACTACTCCCTGAACAATTTAAGAAATGGAACGATGTCAGTGTACTTATTTACTATGGAGAGATTCGGGTTTTTTATGGCACAATATTTATTTTGCAAAGAAGAGCAAATATGTATGTGAGACCCATGGTGGGGAAAGTTTGGATCACAACAGCTTGGTGGGACCTCACCATATCCTTGTCATACGAGTTTCTGTCTTCCCAACAAATCCTTGGGTTTTTTTCTTTCTTAATCCAGAGGAACAGAAGGATGAATTGTGATGAGACCTTACTCAGCACTATAACACAGTTTGGAAGAAAAGCGTTTGACTGTTTGTATTCAAAGCATGCATTGTCAGTCAAAGGGAGGACAAGGTGCCAGGAGAAGGAGACCATGGAAACCTTGTCCACAGAGGAGGTGGAACAAATGTTGTCTCTGGACAGCTATACTATTTACAGCCTTGTCCAGGCTGTGGCACGAGTTTTAAATGTGGCAAGTGGCTCCAGGTCCTTGCAGATGATAAGGCAGGATGACAACCAGCTACAAGAGATTCAACCATGGCAGGTATTCCTTTCTCCTCATAGCTAACTTTACAAAACACAAATCCCTTGTTCAGTTATGGAGTTACTGTGTGGATGAAAATTTCAACTGTAGAGATAAGTTATGGAGCCAGAAAGGACCCTTGAAAAACGTTGCAGAACCAGAACAGATGGATATTGGATCCGTATTTCATAAACAGGTAAATGCTCCCAGCTCAGTCAAGAGAGAGTTAAAAAGAGGACCAGAGGCATCATGGAGGAATCACCTGGATTTCTTACCAATAAAGATGGAGCTAAAGTACATGCATACCTAGTTTCCAAGATCCTGTAACCTAATCCCTTTTCCTTGCTAGTGAGAATTCACCTTTCTTGGTTGCTGTTACTGGGTTGACCAATAAGCTACTGATAGTTTATGAAAGCAATCTTCTGTTGAGTCCTTCAGTGCCTCTCTGTCCCATGCTTAATGCTCTAAGACCATCACTTAGAGTCCTTAGAGGCCCTCACACTGATGTATCCAGACAGATATTTATGTCATCTTCCTTCTGTCCTCTGACATTACAGCTTCACCCTTTCCTGGGAAATGCCCACTTCTACAATACCTCCATGGAAGGAATCTATTTGGATGAGAAAGGGGAGCTGACTGCCAAATTTGAAAGCATAAACTGGGTGGCATTTCCCAATAAATCTTTCGGTGCAGTGAAATTTGGGAAGATCAATAGACTGCTGGGCACATCTGACTTGGAATTCATCCTCAATCAGGATGTCACTATGGGAGCCAAGCAGTTTGATCAGGTAGGCAAAATCCATTCATTTCTATGTTTTCAATATCTGTTATTAAAACTCAATAATAAGCTGGAAATGTTATCTGTATGAGGTGAAGATGGAACGGGTTGATGGGGGTCCTCTTCTTTTCCAGTGACATTGCCACAGTTGAGGCTGGACCATAAAGATACATTCCAGGGGTCTGTCCTAAATCACCTAGCTGTTTGGTATCTTGTAGCATGCTTAGTTTTCTTACTTTATAAAATACCTAAAACTGAGGGATATAAGGGAGACAATGCAGATCAAACTACAGGCCTATCTTGTCTAAGTTTGACTGGGTTCACAGTTGGAAAAAAAAGGTCAAGATTATTTATTTATTTATTTATTTAACTTGTCCCCACCCATCTCCCCCCAATGGGGACTCTGGGCGGCTTACAACATATTAAAACAATAAATAAATATACAGTCAAAATTGATCACAGGACAG